TTACCATTATTAATATAGTAAAAAATATATAAGTTTGTTGTAAAAAAAAAAGAAATCAATTAAAAGAAGAAAAAAAATTAGAGAGATAAGGTGAGGCAATGCAAAAATATTTTATATTTTAATTTTTTTTCTTCTCCATTTGTTCTCTATTTCCTCTTCATACATTTGCAGTAGCACAAGCCCTATATATAGAGGCCAATAGGGGATGGTGGTTATAAGGAATAAATACCTATTAAATAAGAGATTATAAGAATTAATTTTCTACTAATACAGGGGTTATAAAAAATCTCATTATCACCATCTAAATACATGGTATTATAAGAGTGCTAATATATCATCATTGTAATTGTATGAAGATAGTAGAAGTTATACCATTAATTGATGTGTAAATGCCATGGAAAGTAAGGAGGTGAGAGGATGAAAAGGATAAAACATCTACAATGAATTAATTCATAACAAAGTTTTTTTATTGAATAGTTATAGATATTTTATCAATTTAAAAATTAATATTCATAATTTATATCAATAAAAATATTAAATTTAACTATTAATTTTTAAAAATATTCATCAAAGAGTAATATTTTAGAAGTTGAAACTCAATTTTTTCTATGATAATGAAGACTAATATCTACTATTCTTTATGTATATTAAGATTTTCCATGTACATCGAGGGACATGATAGGGTCTGCGCGAAACCGTGGGCCCAAACGACTCCGGCCCTAGGATAAACTCACCTAACATTGCCAATATTGAAAGCTAGCTGGTCTAGAGATGGCAAATGTCGTTGTAAAAAGGGGTAATTGCCGCATGCTAACTACTACAAAAATGAGCTGGCCCGCACATTGAAAAATAAACTGCCTAGTGCCCACCTGAGCCTACATATGGAAACAAACGTACGACCAAGTGATAAGTAAGGAATCTTTAATGTTGTTGGTGGGACTGCTGACTCCATCTGAGGGGGGTCGCATTGAACCTGGAGGAGGAGGAGGAGGAGCCGAGGAGGAACGGTGTAGTAGTTAAGCATGCAGGTCCACAATTTCTTTCTGCGTTCAAGAATTTACTTGTGGGTCATTTACCAATTATGTATCTACTTAGACTAGCTATATATTCATTTTCAAAACTTAAATCATATATTAAATCATTTAGGTATCCTATATACTTAGAAGGTAGCAAGTTAGCATAGGTGATAGGAGGGTAGTGCTTGGTAGTTGTATAGGCTTTAACATTGGAATGCGACATAAAAAATTTTGTAATTAATAAGTATCAATTTAAAATTTTTTATTAAATCTTTATATTAGTTAAAAGAAGCTGATATATAGGATATTTATTGTCCGATAGGAAGAAGATTTTGATGAGAAATTTCTGATTAAGAACCTGTTTTGCTAGTTGTTAGTTGTCATTTTTGTAAAAATGTTGTTTGAATAGAATCATAATTTGTAAGAATATTAAATTATAAAAATATTTAAATACTTTTTTTTTTGTACCATCTCTTAATATCTAGAAACTACATTAAAACCTTACTAATCTGAAATTGAATCAAGTCGGATCTCATATGAAGAAAAATTCTCTCTCATTATTTTTTTTATAAGATTCAAATTTAAAATTTTATTTAAAAAAAAAACTGAACTCCTTTTACACATATCAACATATTCTTACTAAAAATATTTAAATACTCTTACAGTACCGACTACTGACTAACGGTTTAAAAACAAGTTTTGATGGAAAAACAATTCCACAACTAATTAATGCGCTTGCAATAGTTGCTGCGTTGGAATCATATTCGAAATTTGTGACCTCAGCTACGGATCCTATTGTAAAATTTTCCAATGTTGAAAAAGTTCAAAATATTCACGAGTCACAACTAATTAAAATACTTGTGCTAAGGATTAAGCAATTAGAATATGGGGTCACTTTTTTATGTTTTATATGGAACCATTCATAACATCAAAGCAAATAGTTTATTTATGATAGTATAAGAGGTATTTCAAACTTACAAAATGGAATAGCAATCCTTTCATAAACTTAAGTGATTCATTATGCTTTTATAAATGACAAAAATGATATAATCATAATTTTATATAATATTATAAATTTATAATTATAATGTATTATTATATAATTATTTTTTATTTAAATTTATCTATAATATTATACATATCTTCTTATTTAATGACACATTATAATTATAATAAACTATAATCTTACGAGGCATTACAACTATATATATTGTGGTTCCACAAAAATCGGTGAATTAGCTAAGTAAGGAAAGAACCAAGTAGAAATTCAATATATATGGTAGGGATGCACTTTTATATGTATATAAATGTGTGTATAAATTCTAACTTTTATAAAAGAAAAAAAAAAATAGAATCCTACCTTAAAAAATATTATCTTTTAATAAATATTTTTAAAAATCAGTTGTTAAATTTAATGTTTTATTAATATATATCATATATATCAATTTTCAAATTGATTAAATATATGCAAGTAATTTATTAATTATAAAAAAAT